AGAGAGAGAGAGAGAGAGAGAGAGAGAGGAGGGGGTGGGGGAGGGATGAACGGAGGTGAAATGTGTACCAGTACGCATGATGCAGTACGTCATATCACGGTATTAATTTCCAAGACGCGGTGTACTGCGACATTGCGTGCAATTTACGTAACAAAATATCATACGAAATTATACGACACTTAACGTTACGAACAAAAATTGCACAATTAAATTAAAACCGGAGAAATAATCTTAATGAATTATATTAATATTACGTAGACTTTATAACAATTCGCGAATTAATTAATCAGAATTAATTTAAAAAATAATGAGACTAATGATTTTGCATGTTCACTTATTTACGCAACGTTAACAATTGTTTAATTGTTTTAAGTATTTTTAATACGATTTCAATTTTATTGATATTGTTAAATTAAATATTCACTATTCTAATTAAAATTTTAATTAAAATATAAAATAATAATATTATTTCAATATTTTGAATTAATGCGGCAATATTGATGTAAATGTTTGTGTCTCAATTGAAATCAATGATATTGTTGCTAGTATAATATCCAATAATTCTTGCATAATTCAAGTTTTTATATTATGCTTGTGTTATATTAATCCAGTGAAGGATTTTCAATGTAAAATAACAGATGTTTCTGCTTATTATCAAATTGTTCGATATGTTTAACTTGTTAATTATGTTTTTAAATCATTTTTTGTCTCTTACATACATCTCATTTATTCATTTATTCAGTTTAGTTTTGCTAATTAGGGTTATCTACCATTATCGTTCTTTGAATTTTGCAACAATTTCTACATTTGCAAGCTAATAAATATTGTAATTAAGAAAAAGAAATGTAACTCCACGAACGAAGAAAACGCGAAGAAGTCGTAAAGCAGAGAAGAAATGGAGAGAGAAATTCTCGATTTCCGCAATTGCCGGGCAATCAGATTTTCGCTTGTCTCTTTCGCCGCTGCTATAAATTACAATTCATGAAATCGTCATCCGTGTAGCAATGATGTGACGTCAATCGCGTGCAGGCAAAAGGCGCTAGTCATCAAGGACGCCCAGGGCTTGCCCCTGACTACTGATCATTCTTTCCTGACACATACATTATTTTCTTCCAATGCGCTCGCTGACGTTCAACGCGTCTAAATGAAGATCTCTGCTTACTATAAATCCTTTCTTCAATACCGAATTAACTATTGTATCTACGTCACGAAGCACATGGTGCTTGAGATTAAAATCTATGGGAATGTCGTCACTGATGTCATATCGTAAATGCAGTTAATTTAATTTCTCAATTACTTTAGTGAATTGGACATGAAGATGAACGGTCATTTAATGCCGCGCGTAAAGATAAAATTGTTCTTTATTTAAATGCGGCGCTTACAGCAATGAACGTTAAATTCACAAAATATACAAAAATTCTAAAAAAATACACGATAAAAATTCTTTCTATAATTTGTTTGTTGCATTAATTTTATTTTTTATTTTTTTTTATTTTAATGTAAAAATGCTTTTTTTTTTGCTTGTATGAAATTGTGTCAATATGTATTATTTGCGAACGTATTGTTACGTTAACATGAATACGTAACAATGTATTGTTAGCAACCGCATTCCATATTGATATTGTTATGCACTACAATTAGTGGATCCGCTTCTTTTGTGTAGTTGAGAATTAATATCGATGTTTGTACGATTAAAATATTTAGATACTAAACTGTATAGCTATATTATTTCTATTATTTGAAAAAAAATAGATATGTGGAATATAATGATAATTTTGCATTTTATTTAACTAGAACATAACATTGTGCGCGCTACGCGCGCAGAATTTAGCTTTAAGAATTACAAATATAAAAAAATTTTACAATAATGCATTGAAATTTTATATTCTAGAATTCTAAATAATTTTTTTCGTTTAAAATATAAGGTTTCAATGCATCAATAAAGTTCTAGGCTTGCCAACTGATATAAAATTCTAAGACGTAAAAATGTCTTATAATGTTATAATATTTGGTAGGTTAGAACTTTAAAATGTACATTTTCTTTACTGCTGTTTTAGATACCTGCCTTAATATACCTTTTTTAAGAAAAGATGCCAATTTGTCGCAAGACTTCTCAAATCACGAAATAAAACGTCGCCAATATTGTCGTCCATAGAAATACATTTTAAATATTATTACGGTAAAGAATATTGTTATAAAATAATAATAAAACCATGTTTCCTCTGAACTTTCCTACTTTTTACGCAATGTGCGCAATATTGTCAATAACATTTTATTTATTTTTCGCTTACAGGAAAATCCATCTGGCAACTCGTCTTGGAACAGTTCGATGACCTTCTAGTTAAGATTCTTCTATTAGCTGCTATAATTTCTTTTGTAAGTACAAGTCGCGATAGAATATTGGTAAAAAATAGATATCTTTTATGCGATAAAATTACTAATATAAAAAAAAAATAAATAATTTAATAAATGTTTCATTACTTCGAAGACATTTGCCAAAAGAAATAGAAAATTATTTAATAATTTGAATATATGATCGTGATTATCATTCATAATTAGGATTGATAAATAAATATGATATATTTTACGATGCATCACGTTCAATAATCTTTCGAAAATGCGAAGAATTACGTGTCTGGGATTTCGGAATGATCTTCCCTTGTCGAATTTTCCGCTGCATATCGCTTCGCTAAAAGCACCGTAATTATATGTTTACGGGGGTTCAAGGGTAAATGAGGCTAAATATACTTTCCACGAGAGGTGAAAAAATAGCATATTGATTTCAAGTAGCCGCGGTGATCTGATTTTCTCTTAGCGCATAAAAGAAATGTGTAACATTTACTATGGAGCTTGCATTACAAATTGTAGAAATGAAACATGTAATTAGTTAAGTACGATAACTTCTGAAAATGTCAAGTTCTTAGCGTCGTAGTAGCTTTACGGAATAATCCTTAATTTTTCAACGTACATCTTCCGTCGCATTTTATAAAATATATCTCTGCGATGACGAAGTTGCGTGTTTTCCTCGTTGATTCTTGAAATTAATTTTTTATAGAGCCAACTGTTATTTATGTAAAGACTATGACGTAAATGCCTAAGAAGTTGTAGGATTTTTCAATAGCTCGCAGAGCTAAAAGACGCAGGCTTGACATATTAAAGTTTCCGCTCATTTCTCTCCTACTTTCTTTACGCAAGCGTTGCTAATTTAACCGTCCGCCGTTCGTCCAGGTATTAGCCTTATTTGAAGAGCACGAGGATGCGTTCACGGCCTTCGTCGAACCCTTCGTCATCCTGCTCATCCTTATCGCCAACGCCGTGGTCGGCGTCTGGCAGGAACGAAATGCCGAGTCCGCGATCGAGGCGCTCAAGGAGTACGAGCCCGAGATGGGTAAAGTCGTGCGATCGGACAAATCTGGCGTGCAGAGGATCCGGGCCAAGGAGATCGTACCCGGCGACATCGTGGAGGTGTCGGTCGGCGACAAGATCCCAGCCGACATCCGTCTCTCCAAGATTTTCTCGACCACCCTCAGGATCGACCAGTCTATCCTGACTGGCGAATCAGTGTCTGTCATCAAGCACACCGACCCGGTGCCCGACCCACGCGCTGTCAATCAGGTGGGTGCAAAAACAAACCGGCTGTACAAACATTGGTTTCCGCTTCTTTTTTTTTTCTACAATCCCTGTCGGACGTCAGCGGCGTAATTAAAATCGAAGTTTTTATTTGAAATAAACACCGCACATGATAAAATTTTATTAAAAAATGTTTTCAGATATAATATGAAAGCGAACTATTTTGCAGTAAATAACATGATGTAGCTCTTGTATCAATTTTCACATAAAAAAAACGTTTTATTTCCTCATCACGATTGTATTTCAATTGTGTTACTGCGAACTCTTGAAAATATTTGCTAATAAGTTTTTCGTCAATTGTTTCTTTAGGATAAGAAGAACATCTTGTTCTCTGGTACCAACGTCGCTGCTGGAAAGGCCCGCGGTGTCGTTATTGGAACCGGCTTGAACACGGCCATCGGTAAAATCCGTACTGAGATGTCGGAGACCGAGGAAATCAAGACGCCGTTGCAGCAGAAATTGGACGAGTTCGGTGAACAGCTGTCGAAGGTTATCTCTGTGATTTGCGTCGCCGTATGGGCCATAAACATCGGCCACTTCAACGATCCGGCTCATGGCGGATCCTGGATCAAGGGTGCCATCTACTACTTCAAGATTGCCGTCGCTCTTGCCGTAGCCGCTATTCCTGAGGGTTTGCCCGCTGTAATTACGACTTGCTTGGCCCTGGGCACCAGGCGTATGGCCAAGAAGAACGCCATTGTGCGATCCCTGCCGTCCGTAGAGACTCTGGGCTGCACGTCTGTCATCTGCTCCGACAAAACTGGCACTCTGACGACCAACCAGATGTCTGTCAGCCGGTAAGATGTCCACGACGCTATTAAACGTTAATCATTAATGAGCAAAGAATAAAGACAGAGTTTCTTCTTTCTACTAATATTTTATTTATATCTTACATATATTTTTTCTCTATTTATATCTCTTGTTATTTGGGTGAAAAATATTAGTTTTGCGCACAATTCTGACCACTTCGTAATGTTCGCAGAATGTTCATCTTTGACAAGGTCGAGGGTAACGACAGCAGCTTCCACGAGTTCGAGATCACCGGGTCGACTTACGAACCCATTGGCGAGGTTTTCCTGAGGGGACAGAAAATCAAGGGACAGGATTACGAAACGTTACACGAGATTGGCACTATCTGCATTATGTGCAATGACTCCGCTATCGACTTCAACGAGTTCAAACAGGCATTCGAGAAGGTCGGCGAAGCCACCGAGACCGCCCTGATCGTACTCGCGGAGAAGATCAACCCGTTCGGTGTCCCGAAGACCGGTCTCGATCGCCGAACCGGCGCCATTGTTGTCAGGCAGGACATTGAGACGAAATGGAAGAAGGAATTCACGCTGGAGTTCTCTCGCGATCGTAAATCCATGTCGTCGTACTGCGTGCCTCTGAAGTCGTCGAAGCTGGGAACCGGACCGAAGTTGTTCGTCAAGGGTGCGCCGGAAGGTGTGTTGGACAGGTGCACGCACTGCCGCGTTGGTAGCCAGAAGGTTCCGCTCACTTCGACCCTGAAGAACCGTATTCTCGAGCTGACCAGGCAATACGGAACTGGTAGGGATACCCTGCGCTGCCTCGCCCTTGCCACCGCCGACCACCCGATAAAGCCCGAAGACATGGATCTCGGCGACTCCACCAAATTCTACACATACGAGAAGGATCTCACGTTCGTCGGTGTGGTAGGCATGCTTGACCCGCCTCGCAAGGAAGTATTCGACTCGATTGTCAGGTGCCGCGCCGCCGGCATCCGTGTAATTGTTATCACTGGCGACAACAAGGCTACCGCCGAGGCCATCTGCCGACGTATCGGCGTCTTCGGCGAGGATGAAGACACCACCGGAAAATCGTATTCCGGGCGTGAATTCGACGACTTGCCGATAGCGGAACAGAAGGCCGCTTGTGCCAGGTCTCGTCTCTTCTCCCGCGTAGAACCGGCCCACAAGTCCAAGATTGTTGAGTATTTGCAGAGCATGAATGAAATTTCTGCCATGGTGAGTCTTGGAGTTTCAGACGAACTTTTATTATATATTCTTGGATACAATTTTTATTAAGTACACTAAGCTAGTGGAGATTACATTCATCTTGTTATACGTTTATCTTGAGGTAACACTAAAGATTATTTGTGATATTAGCATGTAATATTATGGTTTAGATCTATAGTGTTACCTCAAAATCAACGAACAAAAAGAAAAATTGACTTCGCTTTTTGTCAAAAGTTTCTAATTTTATTTACCTCGTTATACACCTTTTATATTTGTATGTTGAGCTATTTTTTATTATTTAAAAAGAAGGTTACGAAATAATCTTACGTTATCTCACTCTCGCAGACTGGTGACGGTGTGAATGACGCTCCCGCTTTGAAGAAGGCTGAGATCGGTATTGCTATGGGCTCTGGCACCGCGGTCGCGAAATCGGCTTCGGAGATGGTGTTGGCAGACGACAACTTCTCCTCCATCGTAGCTGCTGTAGAGGAAGGCCGTGCCATCTACAATAACATGAAACAATTTATCCGTTATCTCATCTCTTCCAACATTGGCGAGGTCGTCAGGTACTTACGCAAATACAAAGCGGAAAAAATGAAGATAAGATTTAAATTTTTACACCTACTTACGTTACTACTTTGCAGTATATTCTTGACTGCCGCTCTTGGTCTTCCCGAGGCTCTGATCCCGGTTCAGCTTCTGTGGGTCAACCTGGTCACTGATGGTCTTCCAGCCACTGCTCTTGGTTTCAACCCGCCTGACTTGGACATCATGAGCAAGGTAGAGTGATCAAAGATATGCGTCGACATACTTGCATCAAGATGCAAGACTTACTAACTGCCGGAGTTGTTCTTTACAGCCTCCCCGAAAAGCTGACGAATCTCTGATTTCTGGATGGCTATTTTTCCGCTACTTGGCCATTGGTTTCTACGTAGGCGCTGCCACTGTCGGCTCGGCTGCCTGGTGGTTCATGTACAGCCCGAATGGTCCTCAAATGAATTATTATCAAGTGGTAAGCCTCGATGACAATTCAGTCGCTTGTATTCACAATTTATCTTTCAATCTAATTTCCAATTGATTATTCGCGCAAAATGCAGACTCACCACTTGGCGTGTATTGGCGGTGGAGAGGAATTCAAGGGCATCAACTGCAAGATCTTCTCTGATCCTCATCCTATGACTATGGCTCTTTCTGTACTGGTCACCATTGAAATGTTAAACGCCATGAACAGGTGAGACAGAAACTTGTGTATTTCGCGTGAGAAATCACGATCTGGCGATTACGATCAAATTTGCGTCTCATTTGTAGCTTATCCGAGAATCAGTCGCTCATCACCATGCCGCCTTGGTCCAACCTGTGGCTCATCGCCTCCATGGCTCTTTCTTTCACACTCCATTTCGTCATCCTGTACGTCGAGGTTCTTTCGGTAAGTGTACATTTAGTTCACATTAAGACTGCAACGTCGGAGAAATCTTATTCTTCCAGCAAGTCTGAAGCGCAAGGATTTTGCACATTAAAGAGTCGATAAATGTTAATTTAATTGCGATTAAAATCGACCCTCTTTGTTTCAGTCCGTATTCCAAGTGACCCCGCTAACGGGTGAAGAATGGCTTACCGTTATGAAGTTCTCCATTCCAGTGGTACTTCTCGACGAAACCTTGAAGTTCATTGCCAGAAAGATCACAGACGGTGAGAATCCAATTTACACCGTACATTGGATCGTTCTAATGTGGGCTGTGTTCTTTGGACTGTTGCATATCTGTCCCATATAGAACGTCCGTGAAGTAATAATATTAGTCTAGCAGACGATGTTTTTTTCCTATGGAAAAGCATCTGCGACTAAATCCTTGGACTCGCAATTGCATTTAACCGAAGCTCTTCCCACCGTGACGCGGGAAGGGGCGAGATAAGTTATTAACAAAGTGCGTTCAAGTGAGATTTTAACAAGTTTTGACTGTTGTGCATGGTGTTAGTTACGACCATATACGAGAGATAAAAAAGATACGCCACTAAGGCCCACCATGCCCGCATCATACACCGTGCCCTGACGTCGTTCAACGATCACGGGTTTCGAGTGGCATCGAATGATCTAAGAGAGACCCCCCCGTCGTAAATCAAAGATTGTGATCGTTAAATTATTTTCTACGAGTGCCTTTTGAACATTCAATTTCCTCTGCAACAAACACGAAACTGTTCATAGATGTTCTTTCCGATATAGATATGTTTGACGATACTCTATCCTTCAATCCTTTTCCTGTGCACTATTATTTATGATTTTTTTTCCTTTTTTTCTTTCTTTTATATATCTGTTTTGCACTCTTTTGTGGTTAGTGTTCGGATAGTTGTGGCAAGTCCTGTGGCACATTAATGCAGATGAGACCCACGTTAATTTATGTATTCTTCCATCTATATTTTTCGCCGATATCGATTGCAACACAAGTTTTTGATATCTTATGTATAATTGATCTTCTCTCTCTTCGATCGATTTGAAAAGTACAAAGTTACGCCTGTCATTTCACACCGGGGATAATAACTTTGGCTTCGTCGTAAACAAACAGTATGATACATTTGCGACGTATCATAAAACATAGAAACATTCCTATTAGAATAATACGCGCGTTAATACAACGAGGACAATAAAATGTTCGACAGAAATATAGATGGAACGAAGGACTCCTAATAGTAGCAGTAGTAATGGTAGTAGATGTATTATATTTGCCCCTTGATTTTATTTTCAGGCTAATGCACGCACGCACCAAAAAATGAGCGTAACATTCGGTTCGCGCGATTAACGTGCAATCGTTTATTAAATTCCGCTTACATTTTTCTTTTCCACTGCTTTCGATGTTGCTTTGTTATAAACCACGTTTATTAATGGATTCTTAGTGTCTGATGTGCCCGTTCCAACCCCGAAGTCCAAACCGGAGCTGTCCGAGCATTTGCTGAAATTCTAAAGGAATGATCGTGCAAGGACTTCGCGCTAACGGATCTCATTTTGTATCCTGCATACCGTGTCTTCCTTCCCATAGAGATAATGCATGCACGGTATAATTAACACAGCACGTTCTGTAAGATCCTCTCTTGTTGTAATCTATTTTTATTCAATTACACAATGTCCCACTGTGCGACGCGATTAACGAATTGCTTGACTCTGCATGAAACGGAAAGGTTTATTTTTATGTTTTCGCGTGTTATCATCTTATTTCGAGACTGTGCGTTGTTCTAGTCTGTAACGAACGAATGAAACAATCGTGAAGTGAAATTTTGTAAATATCTACGTAATCAAGTTTTTTTTTTTAAGAATAAATATTAGCATTCGCAAACCAGCGACGATTAGCGTTAACCGCGATTCGCACAGTGGGATTCTTTCAAATTCTTTTTTGCACTGGTTTACAACACAAATATCTGTCCCTATGTGTATAACCCATACATGTGATTTATGTATTTGAAAGATTTATGCAATGCAACAGATTCGCGTATTGCTAATTTCCGGATATGGACTGCGAAGACTCGTAAGTGTAAGATAAGGCAACCGTCAAAGCAGAGGAAAATATTTGAACATCGTAAACCTCTCTCGTACGCGCGAAACAGACGGGGCAGTCCGTACATTTTTTCCAATGCATTCGTTCATGTTATCAGAACAGTGTTCCGAACACGAATACACTCGACGATCAATTTTGAATATCAAGTAGTTACGCAGTATTATGTGAAAAAATTAATATCAAATGACATAAATTTTTTTTAATTAATTTATCACCGATGAGATTATATTTGGCAAAATAGGCGCATCATTGTTCTCGAAAGTATTTTTGCATTCAGCTTCTGTTTCAAATATCAAATTTATAAGGACGTTCCCAGTCGTTAAATTCTGACTTCATGAAATTTTGCAAATATGTATAGGAGAGGTCGATAAATAAGTTTAGTGATTTTTAACTTGCAAAAACAATTTCAATCATTGCCTGACAGCAAGCGAAAAGTTTGCGTAATAGCTTTCCTATGTATGTGCGCAGGATTTCGTTAAGGATCGGTGATTGATCTGCTTTGTCGAACTGTGATAGTTTTATTAGCAAAGAGTCATTTATTCGAAGTACGTCATAAGTTACAAGGGATCTTTCGGTTTGCTTTTCGCACTTCTGAGATCGCAGTCTCAGATGAATCAAACGTAGACATCGCCGATCCTCAGAATTTTTGCGTCGAGGAACGATTCATGGTCAGGAAATATTTCTCGATCGAGTGAATACGAGTTCGGCCACTGTGTTTAGCTACACGCGCCACATACGAAACGAATAATCGGTGTCGTCACGAGTATACGTGGGCCTTCGATGCATCTGACCGCTTAGTCAGTTCATCCCTTAGAGCGTATTCTGTCGATGAAAGCATAATCCGCATTTTAGTACGTGAAGTGTGCAACTAGCAGTCAAAGAACGGAGACTGAAGTTGAGAAAAATCGAGAAAATACTGACAAAAGCAGCACTTAGTCTTTCAGTCATGCTGTTCCTTTGCTCCGTGCTATTGGCACGTGTAAAACCCTCGTCTTTCATGCGACATTTCTACAATCTTGGTTCTTTATTACTTCAGATCAGCATATCGTTGCAGAACAAGAGCAACGACAAATTAATCGACAGTAATAAAGTAACGAGTTAAAGACGATGTCGCGTCACAAGACAACGATTTAAAAAATCGGAGGATACTTTCATCAGTAGTGTACGATTTAAGATTTCATCCGGATCTTCGTAGAAACCGCCGCAATTCAGCGTACGAAGCGCGACGCACGTCCGCTTTTCTCGGGCACGTGCAAACGCAACAAGACTGACGATGTGCTCCGCGGAAGAGCGGACGTGTCCGCTTGCGCTTTCGGGGCGCGCGAGGCATAATAATTTAATTGCGCCGTAGCCGGGCGCGCCAAGAGTCGGCCGCATTCTCGCGCGGCGCGATAGTGTAATATAATTAATTAATTAGTAAAAATGGTTAAGGCGTGATACTTTGGTATGGGCATAACTAAAACTTAATCAGACCGAACGAGTTAGAGCGCTGCCGCACTAACGAACTTGTGTCTCGAGTAATGTTTCGTTCCGCGAGTTACGCAATTAATTTTTTAGTGTGAGCTACCGGCGTGTGTCCCTCAGCTGATACCTGTGCCGCAAGTTCTCGCTTTGCGCATCCATAAACACCACTTCATGCTGAATTCCTCGCACTTCGTAGAGTAACGATGTTGGCGATAAAAAAAAAAAAAAAAAAAAAAATTTAATTGTATTTAAAAGTTGGTTACAATTGATAAAAATTTAAAATTTATGAAACTCAAACTTGTTCAGAGGTAATCTAAATATTTTAAACTTTGTCGAGAAACGTCTCGCGATGCTCGTCGACATCATGTTTATCCTACGACGGCGCAGAATTCCGGATACGTTACTCATTCGCATACACGACGATTAAGTTAATTGACGCGTTTACTAAACGCACATGTATATGCGCGGGGATCAGCGTCGGTACGAAGAGTCTATTGCAGTTCTATGACGCTCAATAAATTCGACGAAATTAACCGGGGAGCCTGGATGCAAGATTATGCAAGCGGCGAGTCTTAAAGAAACTGAAAAATAGCTTTAAGCCTGTAAATTATTAAGCTAGAAGAGAATCTAGTAAAATAGTACAAATATTTGACATTGTTTGAGAAAAAGGCACTTTGTTTTTGAGCAAGTTTTTCTGGTTTCTTCGGGATTCATCACTTATTACTATCTTGCATTCGGGTCTCTGCTTCGTCCACGATATATCTGTAAGTACTTGAGTGTGCATTGTATTTTATGTTGATCGAGAATGACGGAGTAGTGCCATCTCGACGAAAGAATACTGCGTGACGTCACACAAATAGCGATGTATTTTTTTCTTATCGAAAAATGAAATTGTAGCATATTAGTTTGTAGTGCCACTTTTCTGTTCGGACAAATTATTTTTATGCAGCTCCTTAAACACTTCACATATCACGCAACGGTATTAATTAACAGTCTTCGGGACAAATTATGTACTTCATTATTTGTCAAAAGTTAACTGAGCACTCGTGAATGAAAAATATTTCTCATCGACCGTTGTGTGACGTCGACAGCCAAACGCAGTGTCGAGCGACGATGAGACTACGATCGCGTCGTTTCCTGCAGGAAGTACCTATTTCTAACGATAAAAACAAAGTAATATTAATATTAAAATAACTTATGGAACATTATGACAATGAGTGATTTTGAGTACATGTTCGCCGCGGACGCGTTTGGCGGCGAAATACCCGGGACGTTCCCGGTGTAATCAGATTCGTAGACATGAAACAGAGAAATAAAAAAAAAAAACAAAAAACAAATAAAGAGAGAAAAAGAATCGAACATGAATTCGAACTGCTACGCGAGTTACGCGATTGAATCTATATACATACGATAAGTATAATTACGTCATCGTGTAATTATCGCCGTTTTCCGTGTTGGCGTACGCAATTTGTTCATTTATCGTCCGATTCGTCTTCGCCGTAAATTCGAGCTCGTACGCGAAACGATATTATAACAAGTGAGAATATATGACGGTGAAGCGATTATTAGTACATTACTTGTTATAATAAAAAAGAAGAATCATGTGTTACTAATGCATGTCTCGACTCTCACTAATTCAACGAGTGTGCGATAATTTCCGCAGAGCTACTGCCAGAATCAATAACACCAATCGAATCGAACGCTTAGTACGTCGCTGACGTAGCAAGTGCTCGATTCAATTCTGCTCCCCCCTTTAATGCCACCTTGACTTTTCAACTTTTTTCTCTTTCCACGTTATTTGTTACTCATCCCACTATATTTCGAATGTTCACTGTGTAACCACAGCTGGCTTAAGACATTCAAGCGTTGGTGGGCCAAAAGTATACGAAACTACTGACTTTAAAGTTGCAATTTAGAGTGAAGATTAAATCTCTTTTAATCTAAAAGAATAATAAAATAAGAGAAAAATTTCATTAAGACAATACGTCTTCAGTGTACGATGAAAATTGTACACGGCTACAAATACTTGGTCCAAATTTTAAATAAAAAAAAAATGAGAACATTAATTCTCAAATGTAGAATTTTTAATTTTGCCTTAGGATTAAAAAAATGAGAATATTCTAAAATTAGATTCTAAAATTAAATATAATTCTAAATTAGAAGAGAATATAATACATTGATTATAATCGACGCGTTGAAGCGACGGTCCACTTGTTCAATGATTAAGGCAGCCCTACTTGTGTGACCCTTACAACTTTTCGGCATAACAAATCTGTAAGCTGCGCAAGGATCTGAGGACCACACACAGCCTTGTACAGCTCATCATGGCGCACTTGTGTAAAGGCAAGATTTCGGAGGACAAAACACCTTACGTGATGCCGAAATGCCGTCTCTCTCGATGCAAAGAGCGTCGAGAATTTTTCCATTATCGTGGCTGCTATGTGTCCCGTCCCCACCCTTCCTTCTCTCAATTTGTTGTTTGAAGTTTTGCATGCTGAAAAAAAAAAAGAAAAAAGACCGATGTGATAACTGTCGACCCGGAATGACCCAAGTCCCTAAAACTCGAGGAAGCTGAAAGAACACTCCCCACGACACGTCGCGCGACCTCGAAACACCTTCTTTTGTTCCTAACCCCCCCCCCCCCCTGCCTGCTGGTGTGCCAAACTGTACAGTCACGGGAAGAACGATCTGCGACTGCGGGCATTCACGTGGATGACACAGGTAAACGTTGAATTTGTCAATTTTTGAAACTAACCGAAAAACAGCACCGAGCTGTACGCTCCGACATACACATACACAAATTGTGTTTCGAAACAAGCTGCTTGCAGACGAAATTCCATTTTCTTCCAATTTTGTGATATATGTACATTCCAAGGTATTTTTTAATAATTTTTTAATCTGTTTGATTTCTTATCTTAATTTTTATTTAATTTTTATACAAATTTTTTTTATAATGTATACATATTTCAACAATTTAAACTAATATGCCGTATTTCTTATTCATGTACATAATAATTGCATACAATTGATGTAATACGCTGATTTTTTCAAGGATTTATCGTGATACATGCGCTCATCATTATCCCCACACGCGCACACCCCAGCCGTGATACTTGATCTCTTTTTCGCAATTAAAGCGCACACATTCACACAGCTGCGTGAAACTAATCGCCATCGCCAGGCTTGCAACGACTAGCAGCTGCCGCATCCCGCTCCGCAGTAGACGAGGCGCGAGGCTTGCGCGAGCTAAGCCAGCGAGAGCGGCTCGGCACGTGGTGTAATAATCGATGTTTACCCTCGTATGATTGCAGTGACACCGCCGGTGACGTCGCCGAAATAAAGACCGAGGGTGGGCGTAGGGTGAATCTGAGAGACACCTCAAATCGGCCGCAGCCGAGAGATCGGGCGACTCATCCACTCACTATACTCTCGAGCTGCACGAAGGGACCGGGACGTCTCCAAAAAAAAAAAAAAAAAAAACTTAACCCCGAACGAAAAACAAACCAAAGTACCCTCACCCCCAACACCCATGCACCGTAATAAGTCGCCACCAACCGCACACGCACGCGTACGCGCTACGACACGTGTACGTTCTCGTCTTGCGCGGCGATCGATCAACCTCGATCTCCCGCGGGATGAAGAGATTATAAGAACGAATGTACGAGTAGCTTATGGTGAATTAGAAATATTATCGCAGTCGCACGCGACTTCGTCCACCTGCAAAATCGGTACTGTTGTACGTTTATTGCGCTTTGTACGCGCTAGTAGGTTTCTAATGATGTGATGATTGTGATGATAAACAAATAAGGATCTTGATTTTATTCGAATTGTGCCGAAAACTGTGCTTTATTTCACTTGTCACCACTCCGCATATTCGAAATCGATATGTTTCTCTCTTTTTTTTTAAAAAAAAAAAAGAAAAAAGAAAAATTACGTCACGCATCGATCGACACGAATCAACAGCGATTCCGTGGCACTCCTTCACACAAGGATCCGTACATTCGTTCGAGCGAGCACCAAGCTCCCATTTAGCGCCGATTAATCCGAAGACCGATCGTTTCAGACCGCCGGAGTCGGGAAGGAGGACGCCGGAGTGTTGTTCGATTGTGCAATGTGTATCGCCGGAATTTTTTTTCCACTTTAGTTCGCCATTTAGGTCTGCGCCCCCTCGTTAATCGATTCTCGTGTGTGTTATGTTGCAGTAAATGAGGTGGTCGTCGACAAGTGGGCGGCCCGTTAAACGAGTGGGCACGTCGACAGGCACGATCCCACACTCCGCCGCCGCTGACGCCGCTGTCGAGCGCGCAAAAAGCAAGCTCGACCCGAAAATAAGAACGAAAAACAAAAAAAATTAAAAGACAAAAAAAAAAAGCAAAGCACGGACGAACGAACGAAAGCGTGAAAATAACCGGCGCGTGTCTGCGCCTATGCCGAGCACATCGCAGTAGAGCGCTATAATAACAGCAGAAGCAGCAGCAGCAGCAGCAGCAACGCACTCGATAACGCACCCATCTTGTACTACCTGTCAATCTGCAGTTCGGGACTCCCCGCCGTCCCCCCCCCGCCCCTCCGGGACCACCCCCGGATCGCTGGCTAGATGCGCTGCACACACCGTCCGCCTTCGCCGCCGCTGCTTTCTTTCTTTTCTATCTTCCTCTTCTCCCGCTCCCCGGCAAGAGATCGCTGCGCGAGAGTTCGTTCGAGTTCGAGGTCGTCGCCCCGCGACGATAACGAAGCGAGCGAACGACAGCTCGGCCCGATGGGGAAGGGAAACTCTTTGTCCTCGGTATCTAGAGCCGCATTAACGTTCTTAACTCAACGACTGTGCCTTCTTAGAGCCGGTTGCACCAACGTCGGTTAGCGTTAATCTCGGCTACTCTGTTCGCGCAGGGTATTGTGAAAAAGATGCGAGCTCTGTGTCGCGGGAAACCGTTTTACTTATGAAAACACAAAGAAAGCTCTTGCACGAGCTACAGTCATTTGTAATATTAATACCTCTTGTCGTTTAAGTAACATCTTTGAAGAATTAATCGGAATGTAGATGACTGAAATGAGAAACTGAAACAAGATCGTATATATCTGAATTTGTTGTTCAACGTCTTGCACCTTTGCTCGGCAGACTGGATTGAACTGTAACGGAAAACGAGCTAACGCAGACTGTTGATGCAGCTCAGCTTTAAATTCCTATCCGAGGAACGATGTAGCTGATGGCGAGAAAGTGGAGGAGTGCTGCCTTGTAGTTCTTTAATCCTTGATGCCCGAGGGCGTGTTGACGCATATAATGCGACGTAACAGCCACCCGCGACTCCTTTCCTTCGTCCGAAATAACTGTCGATCGGTTATTCGCGTATCCGGAAATACAGTGGCCGCAGAGCGTTCGAGCGAGATCGGCGAATTGAAATCAACGCAACGAAGGAACGAGTTGAAAATCTCATTAATAGAGAGAAGATAAATTCGAGCGTTCACTCTTCATTTAACATATTTACGCTCTCATTCGTTTGGACGGATCTCACCGTCTCTTCTTGCGCTACTTTTCTCTCGCCGCTCTTCCCGCCCTTCTTCCACGTCGCTTTATCGATATGGCGCTCTACTTTTTCCCCGTCTCTGTTTTGCTCTCTTTCTTTCATACTTTTCCACCTTTTTATTCTGTCCGCCGTCTCTGATGGAAAGATCTCGCTCGGCGATACCTTCTTCTCCCCCCAAACAAACTCGGCGGTCGTGTGTCCTAACGTAAAGGCAACAACAATCGACTTATTATATTAAAACGAACCTTTTCTTCCTTCTCGCAACATACGCGCAAAGTTCGTCTCGTTAGTCTCCTCTCTAAAAACGGAAGCTTACGAGTCGTCATGTTTCTTTTACGCGATTAGTTGCCCTGCAGCGAGGAACGCTGCCTTCGGATTCTCCTGTGAAGCGCAAATCGAATATCATCGGAAGAGAGATACCCCGCCTCCCCGCCCCCTTTTGTTAAAAAACAAGAACCGCGGCCCCTCTTTTATCAGAAATCCCCCCTGAAGCTTCCGAGACCGCCGTATCCCGTCCCATCGCGTGAAACCGCGATGAGATATCGGGTACCCGATCGCACGCGGAGATTAGATACCCAAGGTCTCCTGTCAGCCACGAACGACGGAATCCTCCGTAGCTTGGAACGTTCGACGAGAAAAAGACCGTCACCCGTACCTGGAACGCTCAATGATGCCACAGTCCGTCCGCGCGCGCTCGCGTTTATCCAGCGGACAGTCGCGAGAGAGAGAAAAAGAAAGAGGAAGGAAAAGAGTGCTCTCGACGGCTCTCCTCGATGCCCGGATGTTGAGAAGCGGCTTCATCCAATCGCGCAGAACGAACGAGGAAACTTATCCCGTGTCTCTCCGTGGGTCCTTCGAGGATGCGATTCGCAGCGGATGCGCGCTCGCAGCTCGGAGACAGCCGGACGAAGGAGAGAAATAGTACGGTCGACCGAAGGTGTCGTCCGACTCCTGGGAACGAGTCGAGGGGCTCTTGAGTGGTGACTCTGCGGAATGAACGACGACGGGGTTTCGAGCAGTGACGTAACTTTCGCGACCGGAGGCTGCCGCGACGAAGAGCGTCTCGACGTGCGAGCAGCCGCTAAAGCTCTCCTTCTCGCACGAGCCGCG